TTCTTCTATAATTTTATCCGATTTCTGTAATATATATAGATAATTGGAAAATTATATAGTATAAAATGCTGCAAGATATAAATGTATAAAATATATGTGTATGTGCCTTCCTGTACAAATTCTATAGTATAATATCCAATATAATTATGAAATTGAAAAGAATAAGTTGATGAATATAACAATAACATAAAAGGGTCTAGAAAGAAAGTAAAAGGTATTGCGGAATCCCACTTGCTAGGCTAGCAAGCAGGAAATCAATGGTAGTAGTAGCCTTTGTCTAATGCTCCTGAGTTTCTGAAAGAGTTCAGTAACTGACTGCAAGGCAGAGAGCAGGCCCATTCAAACAATGTTGCCTTTTATGCATTTTTCCAGCACTGGGATTGGAAGAGACCTCAGGGAAGGATCACAGTCACTGGCTACCTACATAGTCAATTTCAGAGCAGTCCTTCCCCCTCTCTCTCCTTACTTTCTATTTCCCTGCAGGCAAGCCCAGCTTCAGCTTCAAAACTTGAAATGTTTTGAAATGTTTTGACTGCCCTCACTTCATTTCGAGGTTGTTTCAAAGCCCTTCGTTTCATTTTGATTTTGCTGTTTCGAGCTTGGAACAAGTCGAAACGAAACAGCTCGTGAAATTTTGCACAGCCCTATTGACTTCCTGGGAAATCACAGCCAAAGTGTGTGTGGAGATGACTGTTTTTAATGGTTTCAGTTTTCATGGAAACCATGAAACTGCAATTTAAGTAGGTCCCTAGTTAAAAGTATTGCAGGGAATTGCTCACAGAGGCAGAGCTCAGGTTGTGTTGGTAGATTCTTTGACTCTGAATGACTGAGATTTCTAAGGAAGTTTCTGGTTGCACTACCTTTCCACTTTATTTCTTGGTTCTAAGGGTAATTGAACTTCTTATCCTGGGAGAACAAGAACAGGTGCAGCACAAGGACTTTTGTTACTCTAGACAAACAAAACTTTGCCACCCCATCCTTGTAACATACCTGGGACCTGGCGAGGATGGGCACCAGATAGAGCCCTGGAGTGGAGGCTTGGCAGTGCCAGAGCTGCTCCACTCAATTCTGCACGTGACCAGACAACTGAGGGAGCTCCTAATGAAAATGTGCAAAGTGTGTGCACTCCATGTTTGCCATCCCTTTTAATTTGCTGCCCTAGGTGGCAAGCTATGCTTGGCTGGTTGGTTGTGCTGGCCCTGAACAACGAGGCATAATCATGGAGCATTAGCTCCACACGAACAATGTTAGAGGATGATTAGCTGGCCACAGGAAGTTAAAAGTCCCTAGGGAGAGACAGGGTGTGGGTGTGAGTGCAACGCAGGGATAATAACTCTCTCAGGGTCTGGTCAAAGACCCAGGGCTGCAAGGCTTGAGGCAGCAGCATCTCTTAAACCAGGAGAGGGAACTCACGTGTGAGAGCGAGAAGGAAGACTGCAGTGCCGCACCAAGGAACCAGCATGAAGCCAGCAGCACCTTCTCAGGGTTGAGATGAGACCCCAGCACTGCAAGTCACCCCTTTTTGAACTCTGTTTAAGGAATTTAATGAGTTTAAAGGCTCTGTGCACTAAGCAATAACCCTGAACCTGCTATAAACACTGATGAGGAAGAGGAGAGATGTTTGGTGAGGCACAAGAAATGATGGCCCAGGTGTTAGGTCTAGGAAGCATAGAGGCCTGTGACAGATTTTCCTATGTGATGCCGGGGAGGTCAACTAAACTAGCATCTCTGCTTCAGCTGCTTCTCTCTAAAAATGAGAGCAACAGGATTCATAATGATTCTCTGACTTCTGGAAGTTTAGGTTATGAACTTACCTTGAAGAAGTGCAGAGCAACAATCGTATATGGGCTAAATCGTATTTTACTTTATGTGCCTAAATGGCATGTACAGTCACCTAGCTGCAGTCTTTAGCACTAATTTGCCTCTCGAGATTCTGTTTCACTCTGTAGTAAAACAGAATTGCTCTGTGCATACGCATGCTGGAAGGGAGGTGGAGGATGGCTTTCTCACTTATTAGCTCAGCTGCTTAATGTTTAGGGCATTTCCCTAGGGAGGAGAAGACCCAAGTCTGAGGTTTCATTCCCCAAGAGTTTCTGCCCCACTGAGAGCAATGGGTTAAGCAAGAAGACAGGGTTCCTTTCTTCTAGTTCATGAGTAGTCCATTATATCCGCCTCTCTTGGCTGTGACAGAACCAGTCTCAAGAAGAAATCTAGAGAGGGGTCTGGGCAATGTCTGGACTGTGACCTGGTGGCCATAATGCTTTGCCAGGAGGCAGGAGCTGCAGATTCAGATTCTTTGGGGAGGGGGCTGGGGGAATCTGGATTTGCTGCTCCCTGGATAACCGCTAGGTTATGGGAACTAAAAAGTGAATCTTCTACTTCCCCCTCTTTTTTTTTTCAGGGTTAAAATTTTGGGCTTTGCCTGCCCCCGTGTACATATCTGGCTGATTCCATTCTAGCTGATACCATTTTGCCACTCAACTGCTTGACTGGATTGTGGCCCCACTAAGCATATTTGGTAAGCTTGCACAGGCAATGCTGTATTGCAAATGATGTGTAAGTGCTAGTGCAGCCTGACTCTTTCTGGGAAACTTGTTCCTTTGAGAGAGCCTATGGAAATTTTCCTCTTCTCAGGCCACTTCCTTAACTTTATATTAAGGAACATTTTCATGGTTAATGTCCTTGAAAGGGTGGTTGATTCCCTGGGGGAGCTGAGATGCAAGCTGTGCAATTGGGATCCACCAGGGGAGGAGCAGAGCCAGACTTGCACCTATTTATGGTCAAGAACATGCTAAAAAATATTTAGGCTTTGTGAAATGCTATGGTTCTTTTAGGGAGGCTTTAGAAGGAACCCAGTGATGCTAAATTTGCGCTGCCATCATACCCAGCATCCCCACAAGGCCTAACACAGCCTATCCCTAAGCATGCTTATGGTATAGCATCTGGAAGAGTCAACCTTTAAACAGGAAGTGATGCCAAAGCTTAACCTAGTGGAGCACGCTCCTTTTCTCTTGGTTCTGTCAGTGTTTTAACCATCTGCTCTGCTTTTATCTACATGCCAGTTGTCCCAGTGAACAAAAGTTATCCAGAACTGATTAAGTCAGGCTTCTCATTGGAGAGGCAAGGTTGGTGAGCCCCTGCAAACACAATGATACCACATCAGCCTAAAAGGCACGTGAGCATAAAATGAGGACTGATAGGAATACCTCAGCCTGGCCCCCACTTTCCCTCCTTGGGGTCTTGCACCCCATAGGGCCCCGGCCGGCTGTAGCTGTGCCTGGCCCCCACTGCCTCTGGTGTTACGCAAACCCACCTGAAGGTGAGGGCTAGGGTTACGGTGCCCCTACCTGCCTTTCACCGGGGTGGTCACTGGCCAGGCATTTCCTGGAGGCTCCCGTGCCACAGAGAGCCCCACCAGGCCACCCACTCCCAGCAGGGCATAGGTCATGTCCGGGACCAGGAGCCTCCAAACCATCCCCTACAGCTCCTGCCCTTACCTCCAGTTGATACCTGCAGGCAGGCAATGTTGCTGCCTGTCCTGCCAGTAGGGAACTGATCTGTTTATATAGGCAGCACCAACATTGCCCTGCCACACACCTCCCCCCTTAAAATGATACCTGGGGGAGGCTTCCCCTGCTGCTCCTCCAACGCAGGCTCCCCTCACAGTCTGTGAGAGCCCTCAAGTGGCGAGCACCCCCAAAGATGCTCTGCCACACACCTCCCCCCTTGGAATAAGATCTGGGGGGCTTCACTTGGCTGCCTTCGCTGCTGGGCTCTGCCCCAGCCTACTGCAGCCCCAGCCACATGACGAGCACCCCAAAGGTGCTCTGCCACACACTTATTAGTGACCAGCTGTACTTGTTGGGAGGGGACGTGGCCAATATTTATAAACACGTTTCGAGACAATAATGCTGACTAGCACGATCATATTGCAAGCATAACGCTAGTTGGTCGGTTCTCTTGGTCCTCAGCCCCTAGTAAGCTTGGCTGTCTATAGACGGGTTAGTTTGTGTTCTGATTGGAGCACGCTGTAGCACGTTCGAGTCTGCTCTGCCTTCTAATTGGAAAGCTCCAGTGTCACCTCCCTGTCACATGCATTAAGCCCCATCACATTTCAAAATAGCTGCAGGGGCGCTTTAACAAAATCTCATTGAATGACCTTCAGATAAAGGGAAATGCATTTTGAAATGTCCGGGGGGCGGGGCTTAATATATATGATGGCAAGCCTTTTTAATTGAAGCAGGTGTCCAGGAATGCTCTAATTAAAACAGCCTCCCCAGAGCCCCCAAGCATGTGCATAGGCAGCCCATGTGTTAATGGAAAAATGAAGAAAAACCTGCTCCTTGATTCAGTGACGTGAATGCTCCCAAACAAAACAGTAAAGAAAGAGAATGCAACAGTTTTCTTTAAATGTTTTTCCCCCCCAAAAGTCCTGACCACTGCCCCTCATAATCATGCCCCTAAAGATGTCTCTTTGAGGCACCCACATGAGTTTGCCTGGTTATATCCTGGCTACAACACCATTTTAACCCTTGCAGTTTAATGTGAAGGCCAACAACTTTGTTTGTCACATAGTAGGTTTTCAGTGACACATCTGAGCATGGAAATAGTAACTAGGTAGCATAGTAATAAGGTAGGCAGTGCAGAAACAGGCTCTCTTACCATTTGTGTTTACATTAAAACAATCTCAGTAGAATAACCGTTACTTTAAACAGTCCTAGAAAACGCAAAAGCTCAAGACCCTTAACTCTATCTCAGAAGACAGAGGGATCAACAAAGGTGTCACCATATTTACTGGCATAGCACAAGTACCTTTTACCCCAAATCAGCCTTCACTTAAACAGAAACATGGAAGAAGACGAGCATTAAGACACTTCTGCAAGATGGCTGCCATGCTTCACCTTCTGCCAGTTTTGGGGAGAGGGTGGATAGCATGGGGAGTTGGGCTTAGCTGGGGACTGTAACGGCACTTGTGGTAGGTGCAGTGGGGGTGAGGGGGGGTTCCCTTTCTGTAAACCGTCTCCTGGGATGATGGGGAACACTTGAGAGGAGCGGGCAGGGAGAGGGAAACCACCTGCTGCTGCTTAGGGCTGAACTCAGGTCCCTCCACAGCCTACGTGGAGCAGAGCAGGAACAGTTCTGGAGTTCAGCCCAACTGCAGGACAGCCAGAGGTAGAGGCAACAGTGGCAGCAGTGGGTGGAGAAGGGAAGGGAGGGGAGGGGAGAGGATGGCAGGGGAAGTACCTCTGTGCATGAAGGGGAAGGAACAGGAGGATGTTTACCTGATTCAGAAACTTAAAGTCCCTGGATGCTGCTCCCACAGTGTGGTCTGAAAGGGGAATGAGAATATACCTCCTCTGTGTAGCCCTATTACGTCTCTTCCACCTTTCGCCAGCTTAGACCCCAGCCCGACTAAAGGGCAGGGATCTCTCTCCCATTTGCACATGCTCCAAGTCTGCCAGTTCCATGTCATTTTTCAGACTTATGACTGTTGCATCCAGCACTGCTTTCCCAGGGCTCTCCTGAGGGCCCTGTGCACATCCTTGTTCCTCAGTGTGTAGATCAGAGGGTTCACCATTGGAGTGATGAAGGCATAGAAGAGGGAAACTATCTTGCCCTGGTCCTGGGGATGCTGAGAGGGGGGCTGCAGGTAAGTGTAGATGGCTGTGCCAAAGAAGATTGATACCACAGCCAAGTGGGAGGTGCAGGTGCTGAAGGCCTTGCACCTGCCCTCAGCTGAGCGGATCCTCAGTACTGCAGCACCAATGTAGCCATAGGAGACCAGGATGAGTCCCAGAGGGACGGGCAATATGCCTGCAGAGCCAACAAGGAGCCCAGCCTCATTAATGGAGGTATCGGCACAGGCCAGGCTGAGCAGGGCTGGCACTTCACAGAAGAAGTCATTGATATGATTGTGCCCACACAAGGGTAGTCGCAGGGTCAAGCATGTTTGCACAAAGGAGGCAGTCATTCCACTAAACCAGGATGCAATTGCCATCAGCCAGCAGAGGCTGCGGCTCATGATGGCCGTGTAGCGCAAGGGGTGGCAGACGGCAGCATAGCGGTCATAGGCCATGGCTGCCAGCAGGACACACTCAGTGGAACCCAGGCCAAGGGAGATGAAGAGCTGGGCCATGCAGCCAGTCCACGAGATGGTCTTCTGGGATCTTTGTAAATTCACCATCATCTGAGGCACCGTGGCGGTGGTGGAGCAGAGATCCAGGAAAGAGAGGTTAATGATGAAGAAGTACATGGGTGTTTGGAGACTGGGATCCAGCTGTGAGACCACAATGACGGCCAGGCTCCATAACAATGTCAGGACATAGGAGATTAGGAAGACCATAAAAAACAGCATCTCCAGGTATGGGTTGTCAGAAAGGCCCAGTAGGATGAACTCTCTTTGGGAGCTC